TATTAGCTAGGTAGTCTAAATAAGAAATGAAAAATTAGCAGATGTTCTCCTGAAGAATGCCGCACATTTACTGAATACTAAAATGACTCATGCAAAAATGTTTTGCAATTATGTTTAATTTTAATTTTTGCCTCTCATTTTCCCTCTTTGGTATATTCATTCTGTTAAGGAAAATTGAGTGAAATCCAAAGACACATAAAAGCTTCCATTTTACTCAATCCTCAGAGCTCAATTTCTTTAAATTAGATCTGCTTTTGCCTTTAGCCAGATCTTGCAAATGTTCTTGACTTTGCATAATGAGAACTTGAAAAGCTAAGAAAGAACAGTATATAGATTCAATTTTAAAAATGATTTTTATATTTTTGTGAGTTATGTTTCACTGCAAGTGTCTTACAATTTTATTGGACATTATGTTCCTATTAAGTATTTTCAAATTTTCTGCAAAGTTTGTTTGTTTATTGAAAACTTTGTTTATTGGCTCTTAGGATGTTTTCTTACTATGTAAATACAGACTTATACAGAGAACAAGATTTATATTTGCCAGAATGAAAGGAACTCAAATGTACAGTAAACAGAAATGATCAAATCCATTAGAGTATGGGTCCAGTATAATGCTTTGATTAGAAGGTTTGATTCTGGGGTGAAGGTTAAAGCCCATCCACAAAATGCTGTTAAATGAAAAATGTAATCCCATTCTTTTAATTCTAATTTTAACATACTCTAGTTCTTCATTTGTAGCAGAATGGCTATCTCTATGACTCTAATTTGCCTGTCTCTCCCTATGTCTGCAAATGTTCAGATTGACTTAGTTATTGAGAAAGTAAAGAGTGGTAACAATATTAACTTAAGAGATGACTTAAAAATGTCTTGTTCCAAAAATAATCAGTGGTATTTAGAATTGTAAAAATGTACCATGCTGTTAAATACATGGTGTATTTTAGAATTCGTAACAATAAAAGTAGCACTTTTCAATAATGAACACACTTGAAACTAAGTGCCATGCTTCCAAGGCTCCTGCACTAGTGTTTGAAGAGCTGTGATTATTTGCCTTTTCCGTCATACTCAACTCTCTAGAGAGGGTTTGCTTGCCCAAAACCCGTGTAGTTTTTTATTTTTTTTCATTTTAGTGTTGTAGCAATGATTTCATTTACTGCTAGTTTTTGTTACTGTCACATCATTTTAGACATATGACAAATAGAGAATAAAAATAAGGGATCATTTTCTAATATTTGTTCATAGTGATGAGCACACTGCTTCAGGTAATCATTTTGTTCCAGTAATAACAAGTTTAGTGAAAAGGATGTCATCTCAAAACATTCCCAGGCACTTAAACTTCTTACACAAAACACTTCAATACATTTTAAAACAATGGAAATAATGCATAAATATAAGACATTTTTCTTATGCACATTCCCAAAATCTCGTTTGTAAAATCAATTTAAGTATGAGACGTATTGCTGTTTATCCTAAGTACATAAATACCATCTGGATGCAAATTCCCTTTTACCATGTGTTGACTACTCAGTTTTTATCCCTATGACCAAATATCTTGGAGAACTTAAAGGCAGAAAGATTGATTTGGGCTTCTGATTTCAAAAGCATCTTCACAGCACAGAGGCTGTGGGGGAACAGAACAGAGCCTACAAGTGGAGAAAGGGGATACACATAGAGATCGGGATACCATACAATCCTCAAGAATAAGGCCTAGTGTCCTACCTCCTCCAGTCAGGCCCCATCCACTCCCTTTGATCACCCCCCAATAATGCCATCATGTTTTGAACCCACTAAGAGTTGGTCCAGTCAGTGAGTCAAAGCCCTCAGGATCCAGCCATCTCTAGAATGTCCTTACTGTCATCCTCAGATACACTTTTCTAATTTTTTGAACACTTCTCAGTCCAATTGGCTTGACAAGTAGGATGTACTGTCTCACCATATATGGCATAATCAGTATGGCCATATGTTTCAGTATATCTTCTAAGTGCTTGAATGTTTGTTTTTAAAATATCTTCTAAATGTGTGAAATATCCAAACTGGCAAAACTCAGGGGTAGCTAAGTCATTGGGATCCTTACATGCTAGTTGTTAAAGATATTATTTTGCAAGAACTTAATTTAGCTTCTAAGACCCAGGAATCAGAGGTTTGTTTATTTTCTCCTAACAAACAGAGATCTCAACTATACATTTTAAAAAATAAATCAATGAATGGTCAGAAAACAGAGCCACTGAGGGCTGATTTCAGCAAAAAGGCCAAAAGGAAAGAATGGTGGCTTCCCAGTATGAAGGTGGGTTCATAGAATGTGCAAGGAATAATTTTATAGTAGATTCTGGATGTTTAGCCACTGAATGAATAATAAAAGATAAATTGTAGTAAAATTGAGAAGGGAGTGAGATAAGACTTAAGTCATACAGGAAAAGTTAGCTAGCTATAATGTTCATCTGGAGAGAAACAAGGACAGGAAGAGGTAGGGCAGAAGAAACAACTTAAACAAAGACAGCAAACTAAGCAGTGAAAGAATGGGTGGAGGGGGAGGTGGGTAGATGGATGGATGGATGGATGGATGGATGGATGGATGGATGGATGGATGGTGGGTGGATGGACAGACGGATGGATGGATGGATGGATGGATGGATGGATGGATGGATGGAGATGATAGATAAGTAGATATGATTAATAGGTAGGTGATAGATAAATGATATATTAAGAGGGAATAGAAAGAAGATAAATGATAGATGATAGATAGATAGATAGATAGATAGATAGATAGATAGATGATACATAGGTAAATGATAGATGGCATAGATAGAATACAGAAAAATAGATGTGAGATAAAGGGTAGGTAAACATTATAGATGATGGATGGATGAGAGATACAGGTGGATATTTTGAAGGGTTTTAGCAAACTTTACTAACCACTCCTGCAAGTATGATTCACCCTCATTATACTCTGAGGTAGAAGACTGTCTTAATTTTACAAGTGAAGACCAAGCTCAAGAAAGTACCACAGATTTTCTTCTAGAATTCCATGGTAACAACCGTGTTGGCTGTAGTGATGCTTGCTGCAGTGGGGATGGCAGAGCAGCAATGCTCAGTGCTGTTCACGCATTGTGTTCCAGTCACTGCCCCAACAGCATAAACGAATTGTCTCTTTTAATCTTCACGTAGAGCCCTGAAGTGAGTGTTATTACCCTGGCTTTAACAATGATGAGACTCAGGCTTTGAAAGTTTAATAACATGCCCAAAAGTGGAAAGCAGAGAGATCCAGAATTCTAATTAAGACCAGCTGACTGCTGGGCCTGTCCTCTTAAAGACTGCACTGTAAGTTCCACAGGGACTAAAAGGAAAAGACTCAGACACCACACCTGTATAGCATCCTCCCTGCAACAGAGTCTAGCTTCTCAGCTCCTGGCAGAAATAAGAAATCCCCTTCCTCATTGTGGCACACTCACCCGTCCAGTTTTTCTTCCTGTGCCCATCCTATTCCCCACCCTTAACGAACAAGACCTTGCCTGTCTTCAGAGACACTGGCATCAATTAAGCTTTATACTCTCATGCCTCAGTGTGTAGATCTGCTGGCAGTCCTCCCATCAGTGTCATGTTGGCCCACCTAATATATGATTCAGTCATGCACACCAAGAAGTTGGTTCTAATAAACAAAACAATTATACATACTTACATTTCAGTAATCAATGATGGATTAGATGAGTGTAAGTTTGGGAAGAATGGGTTTCTTCCTCCGCATAGGCACAGACTCAGTTGCATTCTGATGAGGAAGGCAATCATTGGTGGTGACTTAAGAAAAAGATGGAGACTCTGAACATGGCAGTTCAGGCACTTCCAAGCATCAGCTCTGCTACTGAGAACACAAGGTTAGTTATGGGCCTGGATGTAACAAAGGAAAAGGGATCTGGATGGAAGGTCAATGTGAGAACCTAAGGTATGTCTGTGCTGTTAATTTAGGATCTTTATGCCTCTGTCTCCTCATATGCAAAGCAAAGTTTTAGGAAAGAACTTTTTGAACAACAACAGTGCTGTTTATGTTTGGTTGGGGTGGACACTAAGTTATAAGGGAACACACACACACACACACACACACACACACACAGGAAAGTGGGGAAGGGAGGGAGGGTGGACAGAGTAATTAGAGTCATTGGAATTTAAATAAGAATCAGGAAGCAAAGGAGAAGAAACAATGAAAGTCCACCAAATACTCCAAGATAGCAGAAGTAACACAAAAAACCAAACTGTGCTTCCAGTGTGTGCCTTATGAGAAGTTCGTTGTGTGTACTCTCACTACTTACAAAATGCTTGCCCTAGCTTAGGCAGAGGGGCTATTTATTTTGACTCATGGCTTTAGTTCATCACCATGCATGCATCAGAGCAGAGTTTACATCTTGGCAGCCAGGAAACACAAAAGCACAGAATGAGAGACCACCTACACTAGCTGGCTTTCTCTATTTTTTTTTTCTTATCTATTCCAACTTAGTCCCAAACTACTGAGTGATGCTGTTCATATTAAAGAGACCACCTCTCTCGGCTAAAACCACTTGTAGATCCTCTCATAGACACAACCAGGGGTGCACTTTATTAATCCCACAGGATTAGCAACAATTAATCCCATCCAAACCAGTCATTAGTCAGGATGAACCACCATGGATATCTGCTTGTTTTAATGAGCAAATTATAGATTTGCTTTACCCTGATATCTTCTTTTGAATATCAATCATTATCTTTTGGTAATCTCAGATTTAAAAGTTAAGAATTTTCTGTTTTGAAGAACAAAGATATATCTGAGAAATGCCAGTGTGTTTTCTTCGCATATGTTCTTGCCAAGCTTCATTTAAATTGAATGTCCTTTTGGAATTACATGTATGTGCTGTGTTATCTCAACATTATCCACCCCACACACTCTAATTTGAAAAGAGTGGTTTTAGCCTCTGAATGTGTGAAAAATTTAAGTATCTTGTCACCCTGAAATGCCTTTTGTTCATTCTGTATTTCAGGCCCTGCTTGACACTCAGAATCTTTTGCGAGCACAAATCACAAATTTTACATTCAACCTTGGATTTTCAGGGAAGTTTTATCACACAGGTAAGGTTCCTCTGACCACTCTGTTGGAAACCACACTTCCCTCCTGTTCCCACTTTCTTGCACCTTGGTGTCTTTCCCTATTTTAGTTCATTTCATTTAACTCCAGCTAACATACTACTTTTAACCTTTAAAACAAGTTAGTGAGCCAGGCAGTGATAGTATGTGCCTTTAATCCCAGGCAGAGGCAGGTGGATCTCGAGAGAGTTCCATAATAGCCAGGGCTACACAGAGAAACCCTGTCTCAGAAAAAAAGAAAAGAAAGACAGACAGAGAGAGAGAAAGGAGGGAGGGAGAGAAGGAGGAGGCAAAGAAGGGAGGGAGGAAATGAAGGAGGGGGGAGAGAGAGGGGAAGGATAAAAGGAGGGAGGGAGGGAAGGAGGGAGGGAGGGAGGGAGGGAGGCAGAGAGAGAAATAGAAAGAGTAAATATTAAGGCTTCTAAAGCTTATGGTATTTTCTAATGCCCCTCCTTTTCATTGAACTGTAATTTACATACAGAAAAGTCCAGAAAAAACAAACATGATCTTTTGTGAATTTTCACAAACTGTACAGTCGTTACTCTCAAACAGAGCAAGGAAAGTGTTACCATACCCGCCCCAGTCTTACTCCCTTTTTGTAGTCTCTAGCCTCCTGTTTTTTTTGTTTTGTTTTTTTGTTTTTCTTTTTCCCCTAACACTTCTAAATGGCTCCCTGGCTTCCAGTGCCTAGCTAGCTACACCTGGATCTTATATAAATGTAGAACTCACCACATCCAGCTTTTGCTGTTGTTCTTCATTGTGTTAGTTACACAGATAAGCACAGCTAAGCACAGCTAAGGTGCATAGATGATTGTTCTCTCATTTTTCTTGGTAGTGTTTTGTTTGAGCTTACCAACACTTTATTCATTCCCTTACAATGTAGATGGTGATTTCTAGCCTTTGGCATTTCTTTGATCACCCTGTTAGGCATCCATCCCTGCACCCCACCCCCACCCCCACCCCCAGAGGGCATAAGTAAATTTCTTCTGGATCTCAGCCCAGAGTGGAGTTGCTCACATGACACATATATGAAAACTTGAAGAGAAAAGGCCAGCCTATTTTACAAACTGATTTTTCCAGTGTGTATTTCTAGCTGTCTGAGAACCGTGACTCATATTTCATGTAGTTTCCCTCTTAAATTTTAGCTGTGCTATGGGAATGTAGGAATTCAGATGATGGTTTTCATACATGGTTCTCTCATGAATAGAAAGCAAACCTATGCACGTGATTACTGGATCCTGAGGAGCATTTATTTTTGTTTTTCTATTTTTTTATTAGTTCAAATTAGGAACAAGCTTGCTTCACATGTTGATCCCTTCTCCCTCCCCTCCCCCCCAAACCCCTACCTGTCCCCCACTCCATCCACCCCCCACTCCCCCGCCCGGGCAGGGCCACCCCCCAGGCTCCTCCTAC